AAAACCGTTAAAAAAAAAAAAAAAAAAAAAAAGAACCACCTCAATAGGATGAAAATGAGACTTCCCATGAGCCTCTGGGGCTCCACCCACCTCCCCCAGAAGCCTTTGCCTGCAGAGGTTCCCACAGCTCTGGTTCTACAAGTCTGTCCCTGAGCCTCTGCGGCCTAGATAGTCACACTTGGAGGTCACTGCCCCACAAGACGTCCGCCAGCCCCTCCACTCCACACCCAGCTCGCATCAGCCAAGACCCACTCCTGCCACCAGCCAGCCCCCGGGCACTGTCCTCGCCTCCTCCTGCCTTCTCAGCCCAACAGGTCCAGCCCCGCCCTCCTGGCTCTCTCTGCTCTGTCCCCTCCTTGCTATCCTGGCTCAAACCTCACTCGTCCTGCGGACATACTGTGCGCCAGCTTCTCTCCCAATCATTGCATGCACGTTACACTCATTTATTCCAACAACACTGTGGGGGGGTTCTACTATTACCCCGTTTAGAGATGAAGAAACCAAGGCTCGAAGTAGTGACGTCACCTACCCAAAGGCCCCAGAGACATTGGGTAAAGGGCAGAGACATTGCTCAAATCCAGACAGCCTGGCTCTGGAACCTGTGTTCCAAAGGGAGCCGGGAGCGGGCAGAGGGGGCAGGAAAGTCCTCTGTGGAGCACGGGGGTAGGAGAGGACATGAAGTACTCACTCTGGAACATTCCAGGGCGGGCCGGAGCCTCCTGACCAGAACTGGAAAAGCTCAGAGGCCTGGAGAAGAGACAGAAAGGGGGGGCCAGTCAGTCCCTGGTCAGCAGCTGCAGCCCCATCCCTCCCTCCCTGAGCCCCAGTCCCCAACTCAGGCCACCTGAGGACCAGCGGGACCCAGTTTGGCCTGCAGGGAGGGTGCTGAGATGAGCTGGGCTGAGGACATAGTGGCCATCGTCTGGAAAGCCTTGTCCTTGGAAACCTGGTCCTGCAGGAAAAGGAGGTCCGAGTCGGGGGGTGGGGGGGGGCCCAGGCACCAGAGCAAGGGCAGGACAAGGATGGGGTGGGGCAAGGCTGGGGAGCTGCGGAGTTGGGGGGGTCAGGGCAAAGGGCTAGGAGAGGGCTGAGCTCCCTCTCCCTGCAGCCTCTGCCCTCCTTGCTGCCTCAGGAATGGGGAGGCATCCGCTGGGGTGCGAGTGGGTGGGAGGAGGGCTGGGGGACTTACCACATTCAGGGCCTGCCCGTGGGGGTGGGGAGGTGCCAAAGGAGGAAAGAAAACATGACTTAGGAAGCGAGGCCTAGGCTCCCCACCTCCCTGCCTACCAGGCTGCCCAGCTCTGCCCTCTGAACTAAGCGATGGAGAAAAGGGGGAGCCAGGAATGGATATAGAACAGCAAGTGGAGGGGGCCAGTCCTAGAGGAAAACGGGGCTTCCACGCCCAGAATAAAAGACAGAAATGAGAGCTTCCAGGTCCAGATGGAGCGGAAGTGGAGGTTTCCAGAGGCCCAGGCAAGAGGAAACAAGCATCTCAGATCCAGAGGGCAGAGGAGGTGAACGGCTTCTAGTGCAGGCAGAACAGAGAAGGAAGAGCGAGGCCAGAAAAGACCAGAAGTGAGTCCCTGTGCTCAGACAGGGAGGGAAAGGAGGGCTCTGGGGACGAGAAGGGGCAGAAAGTGATTACCCTCAAGGTCAAGGAGAGGCAGAAAAGACCTGACACCTGGAGGGGTATATGAGTCTCGGGCCAAGAGGGACCAAGAAATTCAGATGACAAGGAAGGAAAAATGGACGTGAAAGTCTCCAACAGGAAGCGAAACTTTCTGGACAGAGCAGGCAGGCCACGTGGGGGCCAGAAAAGGGACCAACGGAGGAGATGGAGAAGGGAGCCTTGTGCACAAGGGGGCAAGAAAGTGAGATCCCCCAGGAACAGCGACAGGAAGGACGGGCGGGGAGACAGCAGTAACCAGGGAGACGCCCAAGGCCCAGCCTTCCCACCTGTCCCAACTAAACTCCGCCCCTTCTTCTACTCTCTCCCTACCCTAGTCTCGGCACCCCACCCCACCCCCAGGCTGCAGACCCCACCCTCTGTCTCTATCTCTCTTGTGACTCTGCCTCCCATCCCTGGGTCTCTGTTCCCCCCTCTCTGGGTCTCCATCCTTCAACCCCCCAGTCTCTGTCCCTACCCTCTGGGTGCCCTCTCTCTCTGGTGTTTGTCCTTGGCTCTCCGGTCTCTGTCTCCCTCTTTCTGGGTCTCTGTCCCCCTCTCTGTCTCTGTCTCTCCCTCCAGAGTATCTGCTTTGGTCCCTACCTTCAGCTTAGACTGGATTTCTCTGGATTTCCTTCGGGCCAGGACCTGGATGTGACTGGAAACCTGGAGGCAGGACGATGGGGAAGCAGATTAGGCCAGGACACAGACCTCTGCAGCCATGCCCCTTCCCTCCCACCGGTCCCCCAGGGAACTGCTGGCCTGAGAAGGATGGCACACACAGACCACGCCAGCGGCTCAGGGGCACAGGAGCAGTGTCCCTAAAGGCTGTGCTCTCCGGAACTCGCTACGCTATGCCTTGGATCTATGCTTCGGATCGTGCCCGGACCCAGCATCCCAGGCTCCTCCTCCCCGGCTCTTTTCATCTCTTATCTGACTCTGCTTCTAACAGAAGGGCTAGAAAATCTAGAAACAGACACATTCAGTGGCCCACGGATAGCACTGCAGTTACGCTGCTGGACTCCTACGTGGTCGACCGCAGTTCAAATCCTGGACCCGGTGGCTTAAAAATCACACCCACATGTGCATGCATGACCAAGATCCCAGGATGGATGAAAATGGAGAAGGTATTGCGGCATGGCCATCCCCCCCTGGGAAGGATGTGTGATTTTCTTTTTTTTACTTTCCATCTCACTATCTCTGTCTCAGTCTGTCTAATGAGTCTCAAATGAGCACATGCTCCCTAAAACAAAAACCTAAGAAAGAAAAAAGACATATTTAGAGCAGACCTCCACGAGGATGGACAAACGCACGTCAGATTCTGAACCTCTCGGCCCTAAGCCTGCCATCCCAGATGGCCCCACGCAGCTTAGCCTGCCCCCCACTAAAGCCCCCAAGTAGCCCAGAGACCTGTTTGCGAGTTCGGGTCTTCCCCGTTCTCAGTTTGATGTAACGAGCAATCAGTTCATTCCGACCTGCAGAGTCAAAGATGGAAAAGGGTTAGATCTTCGGCAGAACTTCCCAGCAGGGAGCACAGCAGGGAAGAGGGGTGCAGCAAGAGTCCCCAAAGGGGCCGACAGGTGGCGTGGCGGTGAAAGCATTGGACTCCCAAATGGCTGACTGTGGTTCAAGTCCTGGACCCAAAGGCTTGCTTTCTCCCTCTCCCTCTCTTTCTTGCTGGTCAAATTGAATAATAATAAATTAATAACAATAAACAAGTATAATAATAAATAAAATAAATAATTATTTTAAAAGAAATAGTCCATGAAGGTCGGCAGCTGGCTGGGTTTAGGTCCTGGCTCTCGGACAATCAGACAGCCTGCGTTCAAGCCCCAGCCCTGGGACCTTCAGCAAGTCCACCTCTCGTGTCGCCATCTGTGCAAATGGCGATGCTAGCTAGCTCCTCCCCTGGAGTCACTGTGAGGGCTCCGAGGACTTGCAGGAGCAGTGCTGAGAGCTCCGTGAATGTTTTACCGTGGCTGGTCGACGGGGGCCCCGGCCGGGCAGGACTCACCATACATCTTGCCTTCATCGGACAGGATGATCTTCCGGCGGCCGCAGGGCGGGTAGATGGCCAGGGCCTCCTGGAAGCTCTGCTCGATGTCTGGGCTCCAGACACCCTCTGCGTCGGGGCCCCCGTCTCCCCCAGCCCCCTCGCTGCCGCCAGTGCCCTCCTCACTGCCCTCCTCACTGCCGGTCCAGCCGCCGCCATCGTCCAGGGGGGCCCCAGCTCGGGGTTCTCCCATCTGGGCCTGGAGGGACACAGAACTCAGGAAGTTTCCCCAGATCCGCCCAGAGGGCCTGGACACAGGAGGGCTGGGGGCTCGGACTGCTGGGTCTTGGGGTGAGGGTAGTGGTGGGGTCTGGACCCCTGGGTCTGAGCGATGTGCAACTCCCGGGTCTGAGGAAAAGCAGGCTGGGGGCTGGGACTGTCCTGGAGGAGAGAGGGGCCGGTTCCTGGGGAAGCTTGAGGTGGGTGGTCTGAGTTTCCAGAGGGGCTTGGATGCAGTGAGGTCCTGCACACCGCAGTAATGCCTGCGAAGTCACGCACATGAAGGCTGAAGCCCGGGCCTGGGTTCCTGCTTGTCTAGAAGACGGGGCTCAGGGCAGGCTGCAGGGAGGCTGGGATGAGTGGGACCTTCCCAGGCCCACCCCAAGGACAGGTGCTCCGATGTGAGATGGGAGCAGCTGTTAGGGAGGGAGGAGGGGTCAGGCACAAGTAGGGCCGAGAGGAAATCTAGGGACTGGGGACAGGAACTCAGAGAGAGAGGGACAGAGCCAGAGAGAGGAGGGGACAGAGAGCCAGAGAGAAGCAGAGAGACCAGACAGAGAGCCAGAGAGAAGGGGACAGAGACCCAGAGAGTCCCGGGAACAGAGCCAGAGACAGAGGGGGAACCAGAGAGGGGGACAGAGACCTAGAAAGGGGGACAGAGCCAGAGAGAGGAGGGGACAGAGAGAACAGAGAGCCAGAGAGAAGGGGACAGAGAGACGCAGAGAGGGGAACAGAGCCAGAGAGAGAGGGGGAGCCAGACAGGGGGACAGAGTCAGAGAGAGAGGGGACAGATACCCAGAGAGAGGGGGACAGAGCCAGAGAGAGAGATGGTGCGGTGGGAGGGGAACCAGAGAGTGGACAGAGATCCAGAGAGAGGGGGACAGAGCCAGAGAGAAAGAAGGGGACAGAAACCTAGAGAGGGGACAGAGACCCAGAAAGAGGGGAACAGAGACCCAGAGAGAAGGGAACAGAGACCCAGACAGAAGGGAACAGAGACCCAGAGAGAGGGGGACAGCCAGAGAGAAAGAGGGGGACAGAGACCCAGAGAGAAGGGGACACAGAGGGGGTGGGGGAACAGAGACCTAGAGAGAGGGGAGGACAAGAGACCCAGAGAGGGGGACAGAGACCCAGAGGGAGGGGACGGAGACTCAGGAAGAGGGAGACAGAGACCCAGGGAGGGAGACAGAGACCCAGGGAGGGAGACAGAGACTAAGTGCAGAAACTGAAGCCAAGACCAAGAAATACCCACAGAACTGCAGGCTGGGGGTAGGGGCACCCACAGAACCACAGACTGGGGGGCAGGGGCGCCCTGCCATCGGGAGAGCCAGAACAAAGAGCCAGGCGTCCCCTCCCCCAGCTTCCCACAACCCCCGTCGGGGGAGGGGCTGGCGGCCAGGGAGCCTCCCCTCCCGCGCGGCCCCGCCCCGCTCCCCTCCCCCTGCGCGGTGGGCTCGGGGCCAACTCAAGTTCCCAGTGACTTTCCGGAGGCCGGGAACAGGGAAAACTTTTTCCAATACAGTCGGATCCCGCCTCCCCGGAGGCTCCGAGTCTCCTACAACTTTCCCAGGACCCTAGAGTCCAGCTCCCATCCCCCTCCGCTCTCGGACCCGGGACTGCGATTCCAAGCAGACAAAGACCCGGGGCCGAGCCCAGTGGCGCCGAGGCGTTCAGGACCCCCATAGGCCCAAATCCCAGCCCAGCCCTCCCCCATGTGGCCAGACAAAGGGACGGAGAGCCGAGTAGTAGCGGTCTCCCCAATTTCCCGCCTTGGGCCGCAACCTCCGAAGGGATGAGGCTGGAGGTCCGGATGGCCCCGCAGCCCTTCCTCCGCCGCCCCGGAGGCCTTCCTGCCCCCCAAGGAGGGGCAGACGCCCACAAATGACACACGCAGCTCGGCGGTCGGAAACACACGCGGGTCCGCCTCGCTCCGCACTGACACGGCCGCAGACCCTCAGCCCCAGCCCGCACCGCAGTCCTGCGCCCTCGCCCCTTCCCGCGCGCTCGCGGACGCAGAGCCTACAGCAAACACCCGAACTCCGGCCAAAGTTCCGAATCCGCGTCTACACTCGATCCGGAGCGCAGACTCGGGCCCCGGGACAAAAAGAGGGCAGCGACCCCGCAAACGCACACCTCACCTCATAACGTGTAACTTCCCACCCCAACTCACACACCCAGAGGATCCCTGAGTCCGGCCGGCGCCTTCCTACCTCCCGGCCTGGGGCCGGGAGCCGCGGGCGGGCGGGGCGCTGCGACGAGAAAGTTGCCGGGAGCTTTGTTTGGGAAAAGTGGGAGGGACCGGAGGGGGGCGGGCCGGCCGGCGGGCCGCGGGGGGGGGCTCGGGCGGTGACAGTTCGGGGGAGGACTTTGGCTTTGGGAGAGAGGGAGTCTATCTGCGCTGGTAGGAACTCAGGATTCGGATCTTTGGGTCTCTGGAAAAAGAAGGGGATTGGAGTTTCGGCCTCCAGGGTCCTAGAAAGGAGGCTGATGGGAGCCTGGAAACCCGGGTCTGGCCGAGGAGGGGGCTGGGGACCCCCGTTCCCAGGTCTGGGGTAGGAGAGGACCGACGGCCCAGACTCTGGTTCCGGGGGAGGACAGTGTGGGGGCCCAGACTCCCGGGTCTAGTGGAGAAGGGAACTGGGGACCCCGAATCTCGGGTCTGGGGGCTGGACTGTGGGCTAGCTGCAGTGTGTGTGGTGTTGGGGGTGTGGTGTGGTAGTGAAAGAACAGAACAGACCCTTCAGTGTTCAGCCCAAACAACTTTTGAGGATTCGGGTATGGACTTGGGTTTTGTTTGTTTGTTTAGAATTATTTATTTAACTTCATGTATTATTATTGTTTATTTTTAACTTGGGGGGTAGGAAGTGAAAAAGCAAGCCTAGTTCCAGGACTCGAACTGTGGTCAACCATGTGGGAGTCCAGCACCTTAACTACCATGTCACCTGCTGACCCATTGGAGTTGGGGTTTGATTGAGTCCTGTGTCAACACGGGTTCTTTGTGACCTCTCCAGAATTAAAAGTTGTGAGTAAAATCCCCAGTTTACCAGGGGTTCACAGAGGTCACTCCCGCACCACGTGAGCTAAATGGACTGGAGGTGGCGGCTGTCCTGGGACCAGGTGGGCCTCCGTGTGAGGGAAGGGGGGGTGTTCGATTCCCGGCTAGATTCCGGTCAGTTACAGAAGACCTGGATGTCCAAACTCACAAGACTGAAGGGGGCTGGGTTCCGGACTCCTCGAAGGATGGAACCCAGGCCTGAGTTTAGGGTTTCCAGAAAGTGTGGAGCATTATAGCGGGGGAAAAGAGAAGGGGCAGGAAGAAAGGCTCAGGGATGGATGTAACACGAAGACGGAACAAACTAGAACTGCTTGAAGCAGAGAGGACTTAGGAATGGAACCCAAGGTTCTGGGGGCAAGATCTGGGGCACACAGGCTTGGCCCAGGTGCACGGGCATGGCCATCTGCGACCCGTGCGCCGCCCGGACGCCGGTGCGAGATCTGAGAACCCAGGCAGCTGGGTCTCCAGCGCTGAAGTCGACCCCAGGGGCGTGGTCTCCGGTGAGGGCGTGGCCAGAGGAAGGCGCTCGCGGCTCGGACTTCAGGAGTGCGATTAACGAAGAATAGAGGCGTGGCTCTGGCGTCGCGGGGCGTGGCCATGAACTCACGGCCGGGACCGAAGGGTGAGGTAAGCGGTGGGGGCGTGGTCGGACAATAGGGGCGTGGCCAGGTCCCGCTGTGCCCATCCAACGCCCCAGGTGTCGGTCTCCCGCTCGAGGCCAGAACTGTTTGGATTTAACTGTCAGTGGACTGCTGCAGTCTGGCGGTCCGGGGACCCGGCCGTGTCCTAGCATAAGGTCGGGGCCCAGGAGAAGGGGCGGGGAGTAGGACAAGGTAAGGCCCCGGAGAAGTAGGGGATGGGAGTAGAAGAAAAGGTGAATGGGGGAAATGGGCGTGGTGTGGGGAGTTGCCTGGCAGGGGACAGAGCCTCTGGGCACCGGGCAGGAAGAGGAGGAGGGTCACTGGGGGCGGAGCATTGATGGGGGCTGGGCTCTGACCCCCACCCGTGCCGCAGCCACCCCGCCCCGCTATGTGGCACCCTCTGGTCCTC